TATAGGTAATAATAAAAAGGTGTCCAATTTCTAAAAAAACCTTGAAAAGAAAACATAATAAACATACAAAAAAGAAAAAATAAATACATAAAACAACTGAAGTTACTTATTTTTAGCATTCCATTCTTTCAGATTCTCGTAAGAAATTTGTAACAGCGGTAAAAACGCTCCTGCGGCTGAATCCAAGTGCGACTGCGCCAAATGAAAGAATCACAGGAAGTGTCAAGTTTAAGCCCAACTTTCGTAGGGGTTCTTCTAGTAGATTTCCCCTTTGAGTTTTGAATTTTCGGCATGGCAAAAAGAAGTGCTCCAAAGATTCCCTCTCATTACAATAAAGGCACAAAGGCGAACTGTGCCAGACCCGACCTGTGAAGGTAAATGTTCAATGAGGGGGTGAGAACTGCAAGGCAGGCGCATCACTGGCGCCGCGCATGCTCAGATGTGGCGTATTTGCGACTGAAGATGTCGCTCGTGCATTTCCGCGAGCGAAGCTCCGTCGTTGTAGACATGAGAGTTGAGCACTGTGCGCGTTTATACCTTTTCAGAGAAGGCAGTGCCTCGCCTATACCGACTGCAGCTGCCGAGCTTTCCTCGGTGGCGTCGAGTGGCCAGGGGGAGAGCGTTTGCAAACCAAGAGACAAACCTAGATTTATCGCTCAACTGCGATTCACATCGACGGAAATGCTTCAGACGCGTCAGTTGCGCACTTTAGTCACGTCGGTCGTTGGCAAGAGGCCATCTTACGAGACTGCGTTTTCCTTCGACAGTCACCTGTGCGAATTCCTTAAGAGGATTCCTCACCTAAGATGATTGAAAGGTGAAAGCCATGTTGATCCTTTTTTTTATCTTCAATCGATGTATTGATCCTACTAGTGATGTTATATGACGTTTTACGTCCCGAAAACCACGAAATGATCACGCGAGATGCCGCAGTGGCGGGTTCCGGAAATTTCGAGCATCCGGTGTTTTTTTTTCTTTTTTTTTTTTGACGTGCGCGGTAATCGTACAGTACACAACCTCCGGCATTTCGCCGCCGTGGAAATGCGACCGTCGCAGCCTGGACCGAAGCGACGATCTTCTGGTCAGCAGCCGATCACCTTGACCACTGTTCCACCGCAGCGGACGGTGCGGTGATCCTGTACGATACTAGTTCGTGCCACAAAAATCCAAACAGAAGAAGACAACGACGACACGTCAAGTACGAACTAAAGTTTTTTATTATTGTTATTATTCTGTGGTGATTCTATAACTGTGGAGGGTAGCTATATATGCTGACAAAACCTGCACATATAGCTGGATATACCAACATATAGAGGACAAAACCTGCAGGTTTTGTCCACTAGGTTTCTTTACTAGTTTCCTTTCATGAGAAACACTGGTGGAGACGGTCACACACTTTCAGGTAGCGTATGTTAGAATTGCTTCTTTATTATAATTTTCTACGCACTCACAGACCGCCACTTTTTTCTGACCTCCCAGCCATATACAGCGTCACTGCGAAAACGGTGTCGTGTTTCAGTCCGCGAGTACTGTACGCCAGCTAAATTTTATCTGCGGAGCTCAGCTTTTTCAAGATAATCATGGTGGCGAACGACCACAGATTTGCTACAGCGTCATTTTTTTTCCCTCGTGGAAATCCTAGTCATATTGAACGCTCATTAAACGCATGTCATATGCCCGTGAACAGCCAGGCAAGACACACCAATAAAACAATGGCTCGGCATTAAAGAAAGCGCGGTCTTATTAAATACGGAGTAATTTGCATACCTCGACGATAAATCTACGGCCACGATGCCGGTTCGAGAAATGATTCCTTACGGGAACGTAAGGACACGTAGGCTGACTGGCTGTAAAACACAGATGCTGTCACAACGCCAAGATGCATCTGTGTATTACAGTCAATGAGACTAAATATACGCAACCTGAACTTATATGCAGCGCAACACCAGAAAAACACAGGACAAGGAAGGAGCAAAAGACAAAGAAAAGACGGCGCTCTCTTTTGCTTCTTCTTTGTCCTGTTTTTTTTTTTTTTTTTCTAGTGTTGCACTGTAAATAAGTTCACGATGGATCCTAACGAACTGGCCCAACTTGCCGTCTCGCTGCTAAATATACGCAAAGCTGCAAGATAACGGAAGGTGAAGGTTCAAGAAAGCGGGGTAGCCCACACATTCAAAACGCGGTATTTCCCACGGACGACTGCAGAGGGGGTGCAAAGAGGCCCATTGTCTTTCCCCCTTTCGCCACGCAAACAAGAGCCTCAACTAAGCTCATGGCAATTGACTGGGAAGAAGTTTAGACAATACTGCGTGTCTTGCGAACGCTCGCCCATAAACGGGAAGCACGTGCGACATACAGTTCACAAAAGCTTCACATTGATTTGATTTCATAGAGCATATTTCGAACATGAAAGGTTTGAAAGTAGCAAAAATCGTTTTCCTATATAAAAACAGTACAATGAACCTCTCAGTAAAAAGCCTCGAAGACGATGGCTACACGTCAATACGCCATAGTGTGCGCGCTATTTGTCAGATATATTCAGACAGTTCATTTGGGATCCGCCATCTCTCGAAAACATCTTCCGCTGGTTATTCCGAACAGAGCAAGGTAATCCCATCGCAGCTACATTATCGGTGCCCTGGCGAACAAAAATGGATGTTGCCATACTCGTTTCGCAAGCTTGGTTATCACCCCGTTGCACGTGTAAAGGCTACCCTGCGTAAACCATGTCTGTGTACTAAGGACCATCGAGATAATCAAAGATGCGATTACGGGTAATACGCGAACATTATAGATTCTTCTGTAACTAGCGCCCACTCTAGCGATGACGCCGGAATATTCGACGGCATATGTATAAATGTGCGACGCGCATCAACGCTTGTCAGTTTTATTATCGACGCAGGACTGATTGATAGTTGGGCTAGTTGGTGATACATTATGGGCAGTAACAGCGCACAAACTCGCGGGACGAAGAGAAGAAACACAAGAAACACGGCGCTTGTTTGTGTTTCTTCTCTTCGTCCCGTGAGTTTGTGCGCTGTTACTGCCTATAATTATTATCGACGACCGATGCTCTGAACGCCAAAATCAGTGTGCAGCTTCCACTGCTTGCTGTAAGCCGAGTTTCTGTTTCGCGTTCACAGGTTCGGCCAAATAAAGAGTTTCGCCTTCAGGAAGCATGCTGCCAACTCCGTCACGACCACGTGACCATATTAGAGAGTTTTAGTACTGCGGAATGATGCTACGTACGCATCACGCAAGCGCCTTGCGTTACGTGGAGTCGTTTGCCACTAATCGGCTTTTAGTACGCCGTAGTACCCACGTACGTATACAACGAGCGTGAAGCGTGTTGTGCCATCTGGTAGATCAAAATAGAAGCACGTGTTGTTGACAGCCAATGTGAGCCAATCCAAGTGTTATAGCCAGATTATGGCCATATTTTAAGCCACAGAGCCGGTCGGTGCTTGCCTTCAATGCCACCATTTTGCAAAACGAAGTCTCGCGCTGTCGCAACTTGTTCGAGAGCGGCGCGATCAGCTCATACGTACGCACGCGCGCATCTCATGCGTACGTACGTAGCGGCTGCGTACGTAACGCGATACGTGCGCGATACGGTCTGCGCATGCGCACTACGCAGAACGTGGCGTCCTTACGTACGCAACGCCGCCACGTACGCAGCGTACGCAGTACTAAAACTATTATCTGGCAATGACATTATTACCGGCTTTGTCGTGCGAATATGCAATGTCATAACAGGAGCGCATGCCCCAGTCTTGCGCACTTTAACCGAAACTGAGGGAATTGCCTGAAGTGAAGTTACGGCAGCCGGAAACTCTGCACTGCAATCCAAGTCCCATTAAACAAACATTGCTTTCTTTGGCGTTTTGAGGTTGCACTTAGCGAAGAGCGCTGCTACAGTGCTGTATATTAAAAAAAACTTGCAGTTCCGAGTACGAATACAACTGGTGAGCGAAACTCACTAGAAAGGGGACTCAATCAAACAACGATGCGCCTGATCTCGCTTACAGTGAAGGCGGTATGGTAGGGAGCGGGCGGGGAGAGCGTCTGCTGAGCTCGGTGGCGGGAGCGAGTGGGCGAGTGAGAGTGCGGGGCGCGCAGCGAAGAGCGAGCGAGCCCAGGCAACGGACCACTCACTGGGCGGACGACAGGGGTGAAGCGATGGCTTCGCGCGTTCGCCGGCTTAAGGGGAGAGGGCAGAGACGTTAAAAGAGTAAGAGGGAAACAAGTGTGAGAGAGGTACGAGCTGTTATGCGGCGGGGAGCTACGACGGCGGAGTGCGGGTCTAAGTTGAGCTTCGCTCCTAAAAAGGACATGCGATGCTTACGTGTATAGTGGCGCCCAAGTCACTCGAACAATTTGGCTCCTCTCCTCGCGATGATGTTGTGTTACACAAGTTACACGCACACCAAAAGAAACATGCTATGAAAGTCGTTTTTCCCTCAATAACGGCAAATGACCCGTTAGAGCACGCAAAGAAAGCCCGCGAACGGCGTGCTGACACTATCGTCATTCGCCCAATGGTCCACGCGTTTTTTTCCGCAGGCCAACAATGAACATGTACGTACTGTCAGAACTGTTGACAACGTACGAACACCGACCTTCAGTTGAGACACGTAGCTGATGCAGTGATTGAAGTGTGACCACACCGGCGTTGAGAATGTTAACATGGTGTGTTTGTGTGTGTGCACGCACACACACACGCGAATATTAGTAACGGTTTGTTTTACATCTTTGAAAGGAACAGTTAGCGTTAGCACTTGACAAAGCAGCGTCGGAAGATCGCCGTGCGTGGTTGGTCTTACGCACACGAATATATACGTTAAACTGTTCAGTAAGAGTTCCTTAATGCACAAAGGACATCTATCAAGAACTGGTAAGGTCTAGAGAAATTTGAAGATCCGCATGGTCACTGTCCTGGTGTCCTCTCTTACCGTCAACATGCAACTGCATCCTCGTGCAGTGGTGGGGAGGGCAGCCATTCAGACCACGCAAACATCAGTCGGGTGTTTCGAGCGAGCGTGGTTTTCGAGGGTGCGCAACCCGCGATACCGCTTGCCGCAACTCGCGCACTTGTGCGGACGGTCGTCCACGTGCACCAGACGGTGCTTGCTGAGGGACGACGAACTGGACAGCCGCCTGGTGCAGTGCGGGCACTCGAACGGCCGCTCTCTGGTGTGCAAGGCGCGGATGTGGTCCTGCAGCGATCTCTTTAGGCCGAACGCCTTGTCGCAGTGAGGGCACTTCAGGGGCCTGAGCCTATCGTGCACCAGACGGCGGTGTTGGTACAGGCTGGACCTGGAGGCGAGCACCTTGGAGCACGACGGACACCGCCAGGTCTTGGTAGAGCGACCGCGGGACTGCGGCGTGGGGGCCACCTCGTCTTCCTTGGAGCTTGACTGTGCTGTAGAGTTTGCACAGGTATCGGAGAAAGAACTTCAAGGGCATTCTACGCCCCCCCCTCCCACCCCCAAAAACAAAAAAACACATTTATGGGGTATCAATGTTTCTTTTCTGGGGGGGGGGATGGGTTCAGAAGGGGTGCACGTAGCAATCCCTTGTTATAGTAACGTTAAAGAACAAATGTGCTCATTGCACTACAAACTAAAATTCATACCAGTCCCTCATGCGGTATCCTAAGGCGACGTCTAAAGGAAAACTACTGGAAGCTTCTACGCTAGAATTAAAAAAAAAATCTCCGGGGTAGAACAGGCTACACGGGTTTAGGAACAGTCCTGGCAGCAGGGAAAAGTGCCTTTTGTATCAGGCTTAAAACATCCAGAAATACGTTTTGCAGCCGGCTTGCACCAGCCTATAAAGGCCTTTACAGCAATCCCGGAGCAGGCAAAGAGGAGGTTAAGGGCACCTGCGGTCCAGTTACACAGCACTCGTGCTATTTCGAATTTTTCGTACACTAAGCTAAGCTTTGCCTGACTGCGATAGCAATCACTCTCAAGTGTTGTTTTTTTTTCGTTTTGTTTGCCGTCGCTGTTGCCGTATTGTTTCGTATGAAGTCCAAATTGATAACACACGTACGCGCATACTATGTTCTATCCGCGAGTGGGAGCGCCATCACCCTGCTTGGCAGACCTACGCCGTCGAAACAGAGGAAACTCACTGCCCGCTTGAACGAGCATAAAAAGAAGCGAGGAAAGAGGGGATGGCTGTAGCGAAAGAAGTATAGCTCGAGCACCAATAGGAAACCAGTAATAGAGCGACGCATTGTGGGATGCACCGTCTGATACCGGCTTCCGGTTCGAGAACAGTAGACGACGGCGAACCGCTTCGCCGCAAGCCTCAGATTAATTCGGGATTCACGCGCGCGGTCACATGTTTATCTTCGTCCTGATAAACCATGGTCGGTTGTACAGCCATTGGCTGCTCCAACTTGAGCGTGAAAGACAAACGCAGGTTTGTCTATTCCATGGCATGAAGAAAAAATAGGTGGGCCACGGCTGTGAAGAGATCCACAGCGACAGGTAGCCTTTGAGTACGGAACGTTGCAGCCAGAGTGTGCGAAAACTATTTTATTGCAGGTACGTGTGTATTCCACACCGAAAAAGCCTACGCATGAATTTGCTGCGATTAATATATATTGATGAATAAATTGTCGAGCAGGCACGCGTATCAAAGATATCATGGGAACGCGTCGGGGAACTCTACCTGCCATACGAGACGAGCGCCGGCCATTGCACCCATATGTATGACAAAAAACGCAAAAGCTTCACTCAATAGTAAGTTTACACGAAGCGCTGGACGAGTCCATTTGCGTTTATCGTGGTCAAACTGTGCGCCAGGACGGCACTCAAAGGAAGAAGTGCGTTAAATAAGCACAGGGTTTCTATTATTCGGCGCTGTGTATGTCTGACTGTATTGTTTATGTGCCGCCATGCCGCGCAGCTTGATCAAGATCAGCGTTCAAATAAGCATCTGGCTTGACTGTAAGAAATGCATCTTATAGCGCACTGAAGGCTAGAGGAGGAGGAGATAACTTTATTAAAGAAAAAAAACGGCAAGATGTGGAAGAATTGTCTTCTTCCCCTAGGTGGCGGCCATGAGTCCTTGTGCTCTGGCGGCATCTTCAGCTTGCCGAAGGACGTCGAGTTGCACTTCTGGGTCTGCGCTTAGCAGCGCGGTCTCCCACTGCTCTCCATCGCTGTATTTTTTTATATCACCTAGTCACTGAGGGGCAAGCCCACACTATATGATTGAGATCCGCCCTTTGACTGCAGAACTTACACAAATCCGAGTATGTCTCTGGGTAGATGTAGTGAAAAGTTAGCGGGTTCGGGAAAGTGTTGGTTTGTAAGAGGCGCCATGTCGTCGCCTGCTGCATGTTGAGCGAGGCATGTGCCGGGGGAAATCGGACCCTTCCTAGCTTGTAGTGTTTTGTGATCTTTCCATAACTAATCATGCGGTCCCTCTCCGTCCTCGGATTTCGCGCTGCGCCTGTTCGGCCGGTCAGTTCTCGAGTCGGGTCGTGCGCGATTTCGTTCCCGGGGAGGGAGGAGTGACCAGGTGCCCGTATAATATGAACTAACCGCTCGTCGCTAAAGTTAGCCAGAATTATTAGCGCTTCCGGAGAGATCCTTCCTTTGGCATAGTTTTTAACAGCGGTTTTGGAATCGCTGATTACGACTTCGGCTTTTGTGGAGGCTGGTGCTAGTGCTACAGCCGCCTCATCCACCACTTCTGCCCTATCTGTACGTGCACTGCCATTGACGTTGGAATCCCTTTGAATATTCGTAGCTACTATTACCATGTTTTGGCCATTCTCGTACTCTGCAGACCACGTCCCAGGCGTTGCTGAACTTTTTCATGTATAGGCTTTTCGCCCTTTCTATCCTTCTGGGGTAATGATGCTCAGGATGGATATTTCTTGGCGATGGAGGCACCACAGTATGCCCCCTTGCCTCCCGCGGAATGCCCTTTTTTACCCCATGTTTCGCATTGTACGTGACGTCAATTGTGTCCAAAATATGCCTGCCCGTAGGGCTCTGGGTTAACCGATCATACTGTGCCATCGTGTGGGCCTCTATTAGCTCTGCGAGCGTGTTATGTAGCCCAACAGCCAAGAACTTGTCATTCGACGAATTTAACGGTAGACCTATTGCTTCTTTATATGCTTTCCTAATGATGCAATCTATTTTGCTCTGTTCGGCTGCATGTCGTTCAAGATATGGGGCGACGTACACGATGTGGCTGACTACAAAAGTCTGGACCAAACAAACTAAGTTGTGTTCCTTCATACCATAGTTTTTGTTGGCTATCCGTTTGATCAGCCTGCTTGTTTGGTGGACGCTGTTTTCTAATAGCCTAATGGTTTTTCCGTTGTGCCCATTCTCAGATATACGGAGGCCGAGAACTCGTAGGTTCGCTACCGTGGGTATTTTACTTCCCCCTGCAAAAATCGTGAGGCCTGGCCTTTCCTGTATGCTTTTGCATCCCCTACATGTGGGTCGATAAATTATCAATTCCGACTTTTCGGGAGACCTTACCTTCTGAAGGCTAGAAAAAAAAAGATCTCAACGCGCTCAATTAGTGCTGCGCTTCATGCCGATCGACTGACGATGTCGGCCGAAGTAGCGATCCCGAAATGAACTCCTAGCACACTGCTACCGTCATCCCCTTCCCCCGAGATCTTCAAAATGGTGACATTTTATCTTCAGTAACGTATCATACAATGGAAGCTGTTTTCTGTATCAACTGAGCTGCTAGCCAAACTGACAGTACCCCTGAGCAGCATAAAAGCATTGCAGATCATTTCGGTGCAATAAAAAAGTTTCCTTATAGTTCATGACTTTCGCAGCTTGTAATCGTCACAGTCCCGGTTAGCAAAAACAAAAAACCAACTTCTAAAGCACTGGCATTGCACGGAGAGGTGCTTTTTTTTAACACAGCGGTACAAAAATGCTCGCGTGCCGCTGCTAACCAGCGTGGTGCGTCGAACCGGAAGCCGTCGTATCCAACAATTCCACGCGATTGCCCATATTGCCGGCCACCTATTGTGAACTTCGCGTATGGTGGCGCGGTCGCGATCACTGGCATGCGCGCAAGCTCGGCAGCCACCAGCGGGCGGCAGGCATACATTTCTACGCACTGCGCTCTCATTGAGAAGAGAGTGAGCAAAAAGTACCACTCACCCTGGAGCGGCTTTGCTCTCTCATACCAGCGTTTTGTAGTTACGTGCTATCGAAACCAGAATTCATTGCTATCGCATTCATCGCTTCACTCTTGCGATTAAGCTATTTCTTTTCTGGACATTGCCATCAAGTTGCAAAAATTATCACAATTCCACCGCAATGAAGAGGCAGCGATAGCATCAAATTGTAATGTTATACGAATTAAGGCTGGCAGTAAACTTTTTTGGATCTGATATCGCGGAGCTCTTAAAAACGATGGTATGAGCGAATGCGACCGCGCCAGGGAGAGATGTTCTTTTCGCAGTCTCTTCGCGTCAATTGATTGATTTGTGGGGTTTAACGTCCCAAAACCACCATATGATTATGAGAGACGCCGTAGTGGAGGGCTCCGGAAATTTCGACCACCTGGGGTGCTTTAACGTGCACCCAAATCTGAGCACACGGGCCTACAACATTTCCGCCTCCATTGGAAATGCAGCCGTCGCAGCCGGGGTTTGAACCCGCGACCTGCGGGTCAGTAGCCGACTCTTCGCGTGAAGAGCGCAGAACGTGGAAAGGTCTCTCGAGCTGCCATTCACGCTGACGCCTGCCGAGTTAGAGCACGCCAGCGATCGCGTTTTAGTCTAAACGGCATCAGTCTAAAACAGAGAAACCAGCATGTAGCAATGATGCCGCTCACTCTCGTCCTCTGTTTTGTTTTGCACGTGAAGTGCGACCCTGAAACAGTTTTTAGAAATATGTCAGCGTTTAGGCTAGAGAATCATCAAACCATTCACACCACAAATTTAGTGACACGTCGTGTAACAAGGCCGCTACGGACAATTGTATCATGACCTTCTTCTCGCCTCTGCCTGGCGTCCTCAACTCAAGAGGCATCGCTGGAGATCGCAGAGCTCTCGCGAGCGCACTCGGCGATTCGAGCTTTTACCAGTCTAGACCTCCGAGATTGAATGCTGGCAGGTTGTGCGCAGTCTCGGTGGCCATCACACAGTGTGCCCGGCAGCACGCACGCCGCCTCGTAACAGGGACAAATATCGCGGAGTAGTTCACATCTGCTCTGACAGGTGCCGCTTCCCTACCAACCGATCTTACTTCCGCGCATTCTACAGCCCATGACAGCCAATCCAGATCATCAGCCACTGTGCCGTCAAACGGCCAGAGCATGCCGCTCTGTGAATGGGCGGTCAAAAACGAGTTTGGCCGAGTCGTAGCGATCTGCACCGGTCTGCCGCGATTCGTATATATCTTTAAAGCGTTGTAAAAAAATCCACAGTTTGCGCAGACAGCTCAAATCAGTCTCTAAATGGCCCTGTGACATGGTCTACAGGCCCAATATGTTAGTAAATTTTGACGAAATTATTTCAAGGTCTCTAAATTCTTACACGAAATCAAATATATTGAACATGGAACTATGGAATCATTTTCTCCATATAACACTACAGCAACCCTCCCCCTGCTATCGTGTTTTATAGTGGGGGGCGGGGGGTAAATCATTTTCAATGTACCTGAAGTTACGCGGTTGGATTCACGATGCATTTCCTTTTCGCTTAAGCCATCAAGGGCTTCCCTTGCACACTTCCATAAAAAAATTTCAGAATGTGGACTTCATGCGGAAGATAACGCTGACGACAAAAAGGCGCCTCAAGTTTCTAATTGTAATAAAATACGCTCTATCGCCTCCCCAGCTGTAAGCACTACGCAATGACTAATACGCACCCTGTGCCGATTTCTGGCAGGCAGTGCCATTGGGCGCGTTCCGGCAAGGTGCGCCGTTGTCGTTGGGGTCGTACTGCAGAGGGCGCCTGATCGCTGCTCTGTTGTCCTCGTGTCCGGAAGCATCTGGACCATAGTCAGACTCAGAGACACTTGCCGGAGCGGCAGATGCTTTTCCTTTATAGAAGGATCTCTCGTGTGTATGTTCCGATCGCCGTGTACTTTTTGCGTCGTTGCCAACGTGGTCGCAGCTGGAGGTGCGCCTCTTGCGTGGCCCTCCTTTGGCGTGGACATCGCTTGGTGTAGACGGCGGTAGCTCACAGTTGTTGGGGATGTGCACTTTTGAATAGCGTTCCGGACTCTCGTTGCTGACGATGCCAGCGCTTGACGCGGGGTCAGGACTTCCGTTGAGGACGACGTTGCCACCAGACGCAGGGTCCGCTGCACACGGGCCAGACGGTGGTTCAAAGTGGTTATCGTTGCCCAATTCACCCTGCCTCCCTTCTCCGGCAGCGTCCGAATCACAGGAAGTCGAGACCGCGTCTCTCTCTTGCTTTACTACTCGGTCGAGGTCCAGCACGGGCTTTACAGAAAATGGCAGCGCAGGCAGGTTTTTCGGTGCGCTCTCCGGTCGCACTTCCGGTTCGCAGCACAGCGCCGATCTTCCGTCGCTAGTAGTGTCCTCGACGAAGGAAGTGCACCTGTCTTCTTCCTGATCGTGATTAGTCTCGATATTGGCGACCCCGCCATCTGATGACTCCAGTACCGCCCGGGGGAATGCGTCTGAACTCAATGGTTCACGCCGGGTAGAGTTCGTGCACGATGTAGGTGACGGCCCGCAAGTCATCTCGTCTTGCGTGGGCCGCTCTTCAACGTTCGGGGCACAACCACGACCACCGTCATTAGAAAGCTTTAGTAATGTGCAACGCGCATCGTCATCAAGCGTTAGATTATGTGCCATGTTTCGCAGAGCGGGTCTTTGGTTAGGTTGTTCATCGATTAGCGCAGTGCCGCGTCTTTCAACACCCACAGCTGTTGGGTTCTGAGAAGATGGCCCCGCACTGCTTTCTCTGAAAACAACTCCTGCATGCTTCGGGGGAACGTACCGCTGTTTGTTTTGATCTGCGCTACGTGCGTAGTTGTGCAGTTTGCGGATCAAGCTGGCGTTACCTGAAGGTAAACCGACGTCGTCGGAAGAGCCGGTCATGTACGTCCTTGGTACTCTTTGGTCAGGCATGCGGGAACACCACCATGCTGCGGGCCATTGGAGGTTTCGAGTTCGTTCCAAGATTACGTTAGATCTGTTCTGCTCGCGTGGTGTGACGATCGGCGCGCTATCGATCCCGCACCCGCGCGCGCTCGTCGGTGAGGCCAGTTCCTTCAGAAGGAGACTAATACCGCGCGACGCATCCTTGCTGTGTTTTCGGAGGTGAGCAAGAAGACTGGGCTTACTCGGCCACACTGACTGACAATATCTACAGGGCCACCAACGGTTCTGAGGCCGCGGGTAGCAAGCTCTCTCGAAATCATTGCGACGGGAGTTCACGGAAGGGCTAGTAGTAGGAATGTCGTTTGTTGAAGCTGCAGGCTCACGTAAATAGGGAAAGACCTCCGAAGTGCGGATTGGGCTCAACCTGGGTACGCCTTCGTTACTCTGGACGGGTGGTTTGTCATTTGCGGACAAGCCCTGCCCAAGGTTAGCAGGCTTTGGCACAATTTGGCACCAGCAGTAAGCCGAAGGTTGCATGTTTTTTCGATTCATGATACGAGCAGGATAGAGTGTGTCATTGAGAAAATATTTCCGGGCAATCTTTTCACGAGACGTAGACTATTGTCAGAGCATCGCAAGGTGAGTGCAGGTAGTTCGAAATCACTGCTTTTCAAATCCGACGACCGGTTTCAGCCCAGTTCACCAACTTCAATTCTCTCACAAGGTACCTGCGAGTAAATCCAGTAAAAAAAAATTACTTTTTTTATAAAGCTTGAAGCAGTAGTCTGCTCATCCAACACTAACTTAATCGGCTTAATTACTTCTGTAATAGACCCTTTTCCGTAACTACAAAGGTAGCCTTCTTGCGATGCATTGAGCCCAAGTAAGGACGCAATGATACTGTCGCATCATAAAAAATCAGTTAGCAAGAGCAGTGATTGAAACCTTCCACATCCGAAGGAAAAACGATAAGTGTGTCAGCATTCCGTCAGTTTCGCTAAGCGACGCAGAATTTAACTATCTTTCCAGCACCTGCAGAATATGATGCCAACGTACATCTTTCCTACCCCTGCTTACGGCGTGTTTGCATGTATTGCTGTCTAGGTTTTTTTTTTTTGCTTATTCTGTTAAGTTGCACCTCACCTATTTATCACCAGTTCTTTCCCAAATAAATTTTAGTTGCGAGTCAGTGCGTGTCGGTGTTCTTTTACTTCACCATCGCCTCGTCTGCACTGTTCAACCAGGATGAACGCATACCGCCTCGCTCAAGCATCCATTCATATGCACGTGTTTTAATTTCATTTTTTATTCTATGCCATCCGCATTAAACTTTCTGCTATGCACTTAAAGGGGCCCTGCAAAACTTCTTGAGAATGGTCAGAAAACGCTGTCGATCGGCAGTAGAGGCTCCCGACAACACGCAAGCCAAGTATAGCACAGCACGAGGCCTGGAATTCACAATAAATCATCAAAGTCAGCTAAAGATACCTTTCTATTCCGTCGCAAAATCACGAAATAAGCCCAAAAATCACTCGTAGTAAGTCAATCTATCAGCCATTGGCTGATTTGAACATGGCGCGCTAGGTTGTTACAGAGTTCACCGCGAGAGGTCGTCACTTGTCCACGCGTGCATAAAAAATTGTGGGAGATGATTTAGACTCTAACCAAACGTTTTGAAGAAGCCCGTCATTTGGAAACCGACTTGGTTTCTTCCTCAGGGGTGACTGCGGAAGCTGCTTAGCAGCGGCGTCTTCAAAGCACTGGCGCGGCGGATAATGACCCCCCCCCCCCTCTTTCTCTCTCTCTCGTTTTGCTGTGGAGCGCAGTCCATGTGTATACACTCAGTGGCGTAACTAGATAGGACGGCGCCCAGGGCAAATATATTTCCGCGCCCCTCATTATGCCCGTGATAATGTTTGTTATTATTATTATTATTATTATTAATAATAATAATAATATTATTATTATTATTATTAATAATAATAATATTATTATTAATAATAATTATTACTACAGCTCCTATTAATAATAATATTATTATTATTAATAATAATAATATTATTATTAATAATAATTATTACTACAGCCCCCCCCCCCCCATTAAAAGCGCTAATGTAGGCTTCCGCGATTGCCTACTGGCGCGCGGCGGGCCATTTCGGAGGCCAAGGGCCACCAGTTCTGATTTCGATGAGCTACGCCCGCGTTTTTGTATAGTATTTTTCTTTTTTTATTCAAACTTCCGGAAGTCCCTTACCCGTCATTGTTCTCTTCCAGTCCACACTGCAAAAATCTTGACGGCACGGGCGCTTCCCAGGCCCAAGTTTCTCGTACCTAAGCTTTCGCGCTATTTGTGCATCCCAAGGAATGCAGGGTGAGTACAAAACAAAGCAACCAGCTAGACACCGCGCCCTCGGGTCTGGTATGGGGGTTAAACTGGTCGGAGTGTTCTGCCGTTTCGCTCCGTTCGCTGTTCCATTGATGGAGGTCATCCTTGTGCGGCCGCATTCTTTCAGGGAAGTTCTTGGTTTCTCCAACGTACGAAGCGGGGCAGTCGGCACATGCTGTCGGGTACACTACGCTCTGCGCTTTTTTCGCAGGTGCGTGTTCTTTGGGCCAAAGGATGAACCTGCCCATGGCGGTGGATGGCATGTGGGAAACGTTGACCCCCGCCCTTCTATTGCTTTGCTGGCGCCCGCGATGCAGGGAATCAACAAACGTCGCCGTCGTGTCACGCTTTCTCCGTCTTTCCTCCAGAGAACTCTGCGAATAAACGCCTTTGTTTAGCCTTTGGTGCCGAGGTCACGGATTATATTCGCCCTTCCTTCCGCCGCTGCGTGGACGATTAGTCGTTGGACGATCGGCTATTTCGTTGGAGTTTTCTGTTCTTACTCAAAAAAGGTGCATTCGAACTTTTTTATTTTATTTTGTTTACGTACGTGGTTGGTTTCAGGGAAGCTTTCAGTAAGTGGTTTGGGAGGCTGGTGGGGTTCGCTGAAACTCATCTAACCCAGTGCTGCGGAGCACAAAACAAAGCTTAGCCGAGGGTCATGGGAAGGCACGGAGGTAGCGCAGCAAAATGAAAATAGAGGATCCTTTTCCCGATGCAAAAGCCATTGCGGCAACCCTTTCCTTCACCACCATCCCCACTTCCAGTCGTACATTACAACCTCGCCCCTCCCCCCTTCCAGGCGGTTTTACGGAAAAAAACATTGACAACCTTTCCAGGGGGCGCCAACCCGAGGACTCGGCTTGGCGCCCCCTCCCTAGTGGCGCCCGGGGCACTTGTACCCCCTTGCCCCCCCCTAGTTACGCCACTGTATACACTGCGCCGTGTTGCCCAAGGGGCTGACAGAAATTAGGTGCCTTCTTCCTCTTTCTAGAATCACTCAACAACAACAACAAACACTAGGGGAACAGTTCCGAGACAGCGGTTGATGTTATGGGCTGCCCTTTGTATGTGCCACGAATCGAGTAATAACCTTCTCTTCCATTTCGAGCCGAATTGGAGGAGAAGGTTATTACAGCGGTTGATGTTATGGGTTGTCCTCAGTATGTGACACGACTCCGAACTGGAGGAGAAGGTTATTACAGCGGTTGATGTTATGGGCTGTCCTCGGAATGTGACACAACTCGAGTAATAACCTTTTCCTCCACGCGAGGGAGAAGAGGAAAAACCGGCTGCTGCGGGACAGTCTGGACAGACGTGGCCTAGTGTGCCGTGCGTTAGGTAAGGTTAGGGTGCGGGAGAGACTGGACAGACATGGCCTAGTGTGCCGTGCGTTTGGTAAAATTAGGTTAGGCACAGACTAAACAGATGTGGCCTATTACGCCATGCGTTAGGTAAGGTTTGATAGGAGTGCGGGGCGGACTGAACAGATGTGGCCTAGTATGCCATGCGTTAGGTAAGGCTATAGGTTAGAGTGCGGGACAGACTTGACAGACGTGACCTAGCGTGCGTTAGTTTAGGTTAAGTTCTCCCGGTTGCCAGGAGAATATTAAAAAAAATTTCCCGGAAGTTAGTCACGTGACATATGAGAGCCAATGAAAGGCGACTGCCGGCAGAAATTTTTTGAACCATTGTCCCGGTTGCCGGGAAAATAGACCCACCCATAAAAGGAAATACGACTATCTCACTCCTGTGCGCTTCGTCCTGTCTCAAATAGCGTCACGTAGAAAATAAAGGAGGAACCTTTATAATTTAACCTTGAAATACGGGCGCCATTGCGGAACCACATTCACCGGCGGTATTGGACGCACGCGATCTGGCCCTGCAGCCTCCGCTCGAATGCCAAGAAAAAGAGTGTCGCCGAGAATAGCATAGTGCGCTTAATTCCTGCGGTCAGCCGGTCACTGCCGCGGTACCTCTAACGCGCAAAATGTTCAAAAGACCCGACAGAGAGACGAAAAATTAGAACGCGGTCACTCACAAAGGAAGTGCGACGCCCGTTCGTGATGCAGTTCGCTTTTCGACGTCGCTCTGTAGCGTCCAGCACGCTACTGCGCAGGCGCAGTACCCATGAGGCTCGTGGTGAGAAATGATGGCCTTCACGTATGGCCCACACCCACTTTGTGCGATTGGCCGGGAAACAAGAAAACTGGAAGGGATCACATATTAATTATCAATTTAATGCAATATA